TTACAAGTGAAGAAATGGTGTCTCAGTACATGAAGAACGAAACCCTTTCTGATGCAGCTGGGAACGGCGACAAACCGAAACCGCCAAAATTCGGTCCAAGGAAACCCTGCATGTACTGCGAGGGAAGTCACAAATCTTTTGACTGTGAAAAGTACGCAACACCACGAGAACGTTCACAGTACTTACGAGAACACAAGTTATGCTTGATATGTGCATCACCACGACATGTCACAGCAGAATGCAAGAAACGCCCATGTTTCAAATGTCACAAACAGCACCACACTTCGTGCTGCTGCCAAGGAGAGGAGAAAGGTGCTACGGCATCACCATTCAAAGAAAGAGCACCCGATTACAAAGAGAACAGCAAGCTCAAAGGGAGCTCAAGCAGAAGCAAAGAAACTAATACAGGCAATTCGAGGACGAAAGTGAACTAACTCAGCCATCACTCGAACTCGATACCTCCAGAAGGGCAGACAGTCCTGGAAGTTCTTCCGGCTAAATACCAGCTAAAAGCACAGCCCACATATTTACCCACGGGTGAAATCACAGCATTAGACCCAACCACGAAGAGTTTGAGGAAAATTGCAGTTCTCTTAGATACAGGAGCAGAAATCTCCTTCATAGGTGCAGCATTGGCTGCGGAACTGCATTTACCTTCAATCAAGGAGACACGACTTCATCTTCACACCTTTGGTTCGGACCATGTGCATGAGACAACATCACGTGAAGTCTCGCCAAGCATGGGACGTAGAAGGACGCCCGTTCACACACTCCCTGTACACTCACGAGATTTTGAGCAAGCCATTTGAGACTGCTCCTACCTGTGCAGAGGACATAGAGTTCATCCTCCAGCACAAGCTGACAGTTAACTTCAAGGAGGGAGGTTCCACTGTGAAACTTTCTATGCTCATTGGCTGCGATCANTGTGATGAGCCACACATACAACTTCCATCTGGATTACATCTGCTTCCAACCGGTCTGGGTAACATAATGACGGGCCAAGCAACCAGTTCACTACAAGAAGAGAATCTGGAAAAGGAAAAAGACAAGTGGGATGGTTACTGGACATTGGAGGGTCAAGTTAACGTAACAACCCTTCCTAAACCACAGTCGGAAACCGATAAAAACGAGAAGTGGGATCCACTAGAATTGGAAGAGAAAGTTCCCCCAGAACAAGTTCAAGAAGAATTATCTTCAACACAAGGTCCCAATAATGACTCCGAACCCACGGGAACTGAACATAACCCAAGCTCCAGAACATTGGGAGATCATTATAATCTCCGACCCAGGAAATCGAATTTACAGGAGAACCATGGCGACAAGCCCTACAATACAATCACACTTGCTCATCAACATCCTGTCTATCTTGGCCATAGTAATAGGATGTTCGTGCTCCAGCCAGCTTTCGGGTCACAGCTTCCAACAAGTGACCTAAGTCGAAGAACCTATTTTACCTCAAGAAATGAGCACTGATTTCAAAAGAACCTGTGGAAATCTACAAACCTTCGCACCCAACAACTGGCTAGAGACAAAGTTCACCGGACGACATTCGCAACAACATTTGGAGCAATGCGAAGGCTTTCAAGTATCGGAATAGTCGATTTCTGCTAGATATGTAAGGTTACCTAAAGGACTTGTGCTCGGTGCGTGGTGTTCGACATGCTATAGGTTGAAGCATTATTATTGTGGATTTTCGCGCGGCTTCTTTCCTTTTGATGCAATTTAAATACTAAATTCGGGATTTTTATAGAAAAGATCTTCTCGCTTCCCTTGGCACAGATGTGTCTAGAAAGTGATCTTCATATTCACCACATTACGCTCCTCTACTTCGAGGAAGGTTGGGAGGTGTGGCAGAGTCATTTCGCGATCTCAAAGAACTTTTGAGCTACGAAACAGTCAGCCAAAGGTAAGTAGAGGACGGGATCTGCTCTTAAATCCGCCCTATCCACCAACAGAAACTCCTAGGGATTATCAAGTCAACCGTCTGTTGAAAATTTAGCTTCGAAGCAGAACATACGACGAATGGATGACCTGATGGTCGATGTCGAGCGTGGATCGCCTCTAGTAATCGAAACTTCTTCGACTGTGGAACTCTAGTAAGGAAACAGTCTTTTACGTAGACTGATGTTGTGGAGTAACTATTTGAAAATGTCCTCTCAAAATATTCTAATCGTTTTTCAAATAGAATTTGTTTCCCTATTCCGAAGGTGGAGTCACATTGATTGTTTTTTGTATGAACTCATGTTGTTCTATAAGCTCTTATCGTTTATCTCGACTAAGATTTTTAATTAGTCGTATGTTTTATTATACCGCAGTAATAATATCCTTTGTAATGCCACCACAAGTATAGAGTTTATTTACTGCAATTTTATTGCAAATGCCAAAACATCTAGCAAAGATCCCTTCGAAGAGTTACTGATCAGAACCATCCACCAGGCCGTGCAAAAGGAGATCCTCCATATCCATCACGAGGATATATTCCAGGTCCTCCAAAAGAAGATCCTCCTCGTCCTCCAGGGAATAGTCCTTCAGGTCCTTCGAACGGAGATCCTGCTTGTCCTGCGGAGGAAGGTCCACCAGATCCTTGGAATGGATATCCTATTTGTGCAAACGGATATCCTCTTCTTCCTCCGGGAAATGGTGCTCTGGGTCCTTG